AGAAAGCTAGAGACACAAAATTTACAGGGTGTCAACCTGTACGTAGACTCACTTAGGTCAAAGTTTGAGCTTCCTAGGTTATGACCCTCAGGTTAAATAAGGTCAAACAAGGTCAAACTCCAGGTTAGTCTCCGAAGTGCCCCCAGACCCTAGGCAACTGTTTATAAGCAAAAGGTCACAAGCCCATTTGAGGTCAGTGACCTTGTTTGACCTTTTGAAGGTCATGGTGACCAAAATCGTACAAGACTGCTCTGAGTTTTGCATTTGAATAAGCGACAAAGATTACGCTAGGCAGTATGTTCCTAAAACAAAATGTCGACCCGGGTCATCTTAGGTCAATGACCTGTTCTGACCTCTAAGAAGTCAATGGAAGATGTATAATGCGGTTCCTGCTGTCAATAAATTCGAAATGAGCACCACAAACTATCCCATACAGCAAGCCCTAGAGTAATAAATCAGGTCTGGTTTTGACCTTGGTCTGACCGTCATACCTGACCTCGGGTCGGCTTAATTTGCTCATTCAATATTTGTGGTGCATAAGAAAGCATCTCAGAGATGTATGTCTTTGTCAAACACTCCGTTGTTGTATCAGATTGAACGATTCCCTAGAAATTGCCTTCGCTAAAACCATGGCGTGACTTTACCCTGCCATAGGTCAGCCACCTTACCAGGTACATCTAAATTTTTCGTGTCAAAGCGATCCGCTATTTATTTTCTACAGTTATGCAAAATTTGGCGCAGCTACGCCGCGCCGTTCGCAAACCATTCCGGAAAAGCCTTCCGGGTGGTCAATTTGACCCCCACCCGAGCGCGTGTTAACCACGAGAGACAACGAGGATTATAACTTTAGGCAGACAGTTCGGCGTGCCGATGACTGGTCTTTAAGTCTCCAATACACTGGAGCGCATTTCCTTTCTTTCCGTGGCCACCGCCATCAGCGTATCTGGGCGTAGTCAGGTGTTAAAGTGATGATATGTTGCCTTTACACTTACTTGAACATTATCTGTTTCCTTATTTGAATTTGCTTGCAATATAATCGGTTAGGATTCTTTGTTTAATCTGTTTTGTTACACCGAATGACATCATTACCGTATCGTATTCATTTAGTATTCGCCCTCGCATCTGCCTTAACGCTTACCTCTAGGCCTACCCTGTGCGGTAGGGCAGAGTCCCGATCCAGGACCTGGTGCCGGACGGTCGCAGTGCAGGATCTTGAGAAGCATGGCGCGAGTCCCTTGGCCCCGTACACATAACTATGATGTTGAAAAACAGATCTGACATCTGGTAACCATAACTTACATAAAGCATGGATACCAGACAGCGTCTATTCTTGGCGCCTAGGTTGTGCGCAGCAAAGTCAGCTGTACACATAACACAACCATAGCCAATAACTTTCCGACTGTGGCTCCGGCGCGGTGAGAACAACAAGGCCGACCCCGCCCGTGAGTGAACCACCAGCAAAGTATTGGCCGGCGGAGAGGTGGCTGACCAACAGCCTGCGAGGATCAGCAGGATCAGCCACCAGCCAGTTTCGGGGCGTCTTCCTATTCTGCTTACGGACCCGAAACGGCCCGGCCCGTCGGAGTCACCTGATCCCACGTGACAACGGGATCCAGTCCGCCAAGAATGGCTGGGGGACGCTCCAACTGGCACCGACAGCTCCACACTTGGCGGCCGGGCCGGAGGAGGGCACATCAGATAGTGGTCGGGGTTTACAGATGGAGCGTTTACTCGACGGAGCGTCGCCGGCGGCCGGGTCCGCCCGGGAAGGCCGCCGCCGCCAGACCCATCTTGTGCTTGGCCGCCTGCGTGGCCGAGAAGCCGCGGCCCAGACCAAAGTCCAGCCCGCGCTTGCTGTGGGGAAGGACGCCGGTCAAAAGTGAAATAAAAAATATGAAATAAATTCGTCAAGTTCTTTCGCATGAGGTTTCATGCAAAGAAAGGTAAAGTTTACGTGTTCCTGTTACCGACATGAAAGGGCACGTGACAATTAAATCGAAACCAAATTCCTACAAGTGTGTTTTACTGGTAGCCAGTAGCCCTACATTAGTACTACCGGATACACACAGCTGCAATCGTCGGGTTCGACTCGAAGTATTTCCCCCGGGCCGCCGTATCATGGCCATCACTCAACGGCAGACCAGCTGCAATCAGACAAACGACGTCACGACGTGTTTTGAACAAAACAGATTATGTTGGTTGATAAGACATTTACATTGCTGGCAGAGAGTACTCGCGCAATTGCACTGAGTGCTCGAGGCTGCATTGTTCGGCAATACGCAAAATTATTTTAAATTCAGAGCCGTATCTGTGCAAATCACCGTTGCGGCCGGCCCAAAAACATTGAGTCATGCGTTGTCAGAAGGGTGAGCGAATGTTGCGAAGCGATGCCATTGTGCGAGCACGATCATTTGTCAATGTGAATATTTCATCATCTTATTAATTCAAATCAACCCTTGTGGCTCATGGCTAACTGCAATCGGTCGCAGTTAGTCATGTAGAGTGATGGACATGATGCGTCGGCTCATGAAACTTGAAACCAAATCCGAACATTGCGGCTGCGTGCGTTTTGAAGCACTGGCATAAAGCTGAAGGGCTCCCAGCTGTCAGTGCAACACATTCATCTGAGTTTCGTTTCGATTTTATTTGGTTGGTCTCCCAACAGCTCACCACTCAGTTTTGGGGCCGGCCGGAGCACTGATTATATATATGTATATATATATGTATATGTATATATATGTACATATATATACATATAGATATATATATAAACAAGAAAATCTGGCTTATAGTCAGAGCTATCCGTTTAAATTAAATTCCCCTTGAGCAGTGCGGGTGCAAATGTGTATATCACCTTTTTACATAGATATATGCGTGTATATTACATTTAGATATTTACGTATGTACATACTTTTCTTCTCGCCATGTTCGCAATTGGCAATCTGCTGCGCTGCCTACTAGGATCCGACAACGGACAGAAATCACCCGCAACCATGAGAACTAAAACTACCAAAAAACTTATCGTCTAACTCTTCTGGAATCGACAAAAAGTGCTGATTTCGATACATCAGTTGTTCACAATGAAATCAATCATATGGTCCCATTTCTGCGTTTGGATATGTGCTGTAACGGAATGACACACTATCCCCCTACAATTCAAGCATCACTACGGCATGTTTTCCTCTCGTATGACGAATGGTTGATCTGTTGCGCATTCGTTACTGCTTATGGAAAGGACCAGTGCAAAGATGGAATGTCTAAATGAATCATGCTGGCAAGCTGCAACTTTCTGTGTATTTAACTGAAGACCAATGTTTAAGCAACGCAATCTCCGGTTGAACCCATTGATTTCAATGGCAGCCATTCGGAAATCACCCGGCTAATTGAACGGATCTGGTTTTGCGTGGGCCGGGCGCTGTTCGGATTGGCTCAGGGCGAGGCCTCGCCCCATTGGTCCATTGGTCGCCGCTGTCTCGTGGGGAATTGAATATAAGGTGCCGGAGAGGCGGCACCAGCATCGCAGTCGGCGGTGGAGCAGCACAGCGGCGACCACGAGGCGATCTCCTCCCGGCACAAGCACCGAGTGAGTCTCACGCTGCTGACCATCAGCAGACAGAACACGCTGAAATGCTGCCTCATTTGATCCAATCTCAGATGAAACTTTGGAAGTAGAAGTCCGTCTAGTACTGCTATGACTACGCCTGAAAGCTCAGTTAGAGTACATAACAGTAGACGTTTGCTATAATCAAAGGAGAAATTAATACAGCCGCTAAGTAATCACTGGACGCAGCCACTGTAAATACTTAGCCCATTGTTACCATTGGTCAATGCCAATGGTCATTGATTTATCTTTCCAATTGCCGTAAGGATTATCTTGGTTAGCAGTTGCCAACGCGGTGGTCATTATGTCTTCTCAGATGTCTGTTGGCCATAATCACAGCATGCGATGACATGTGCCCTAATATCCTACCTTTGCTGGATCATGTTCATGTTTGTTACTGACTACATAACTGACTACTGACTGACCGACTACCGACTGTTCATTACTGACTACTGACCTGTAATAACCCGTCAACATTTTGTTTTTCGGAACATACTGCCTAGCGAAATCTTTCTCGCTTATTCAAATACAAACTCGACTCAGTTTTGCATGATTTTGGTCACCATGGCCAAGGAAATTTGAAACAAGGTCAGTGGCTTTAAATGACCATGTGACCTTTTGCATAGAATAGGTATCTAGTTTCTGGGGACACTTTAGAGACCAGCCTAAATTTTGTCCTTGTCTGACCTTTTTTGAACCAAAGGCCATGACTTAGGAACCTCGAACTTTGACCTCAGTGAGTTCACGTACCGGTCAACACACCCTGTGATTTTGACGTCACTAGCTCTCTTAGTTCCTGAGATCTCAGGGGGTCAAATTGACCCCCACCCAACCGAAGGGTATCCAACCGGCTACCCGGGCTCGTGTTAACCAGGTCCACATAGAGTTTTGTTCAGTGCAGCTTGGCTCAGTGACCACCAGCCTGCCCCAGACTGACGACGGTTACCCACGTGCAGGTCACTGAGCGCTCGTACCCGGCCGGGGGGTTGGATGGGTACTGCGGTACAGTCTACCAGCTCGGCTCCACCAGCGGGTTGGTGGTGCAGTTTCGGCGCAGATTTGGCCGGTGGACAGTATTGGCTGCGACCTTGCTAACCTTCACAATAACAGGACAATCTTGCTTAAACATGGTTCGCCTTAAAGCTGATTATTGCTTTAGAAACACATTTTCAAACAATCACGGACATTATCCTGGGACATTATTTGGAGCATGCACTGGTCGCAGATATTAGCGAGACGGGGAGTGCACGCAGCGCACGTCACGTAAGTACAGGTTGTCCAATATGAAACGCTGTGCGATCTGACGCTCACCAGACCGTATCACTTGTACTGGCCCAACCTTGACTTGACCTTGCTTCTTGACCCCTGTCTGACCCAGACCTGTTCTCGTTTCAGGCTCATGACTCGTCACGTATCCGCTATCAGTGCCTGCACCTGGCTAGCTGCCATCGTCTGCTTCGTCTTTTGCTGGTCCTTCAGCGACGCCAGCATGCACAGGGAGAACGCTGAGGGGTGGGTAGCTCCGTGTGTGCGTGTGTGTGTAGGTGGGTAGCTCTGTGTGTGTGAGGAAGGAAAAGAAGCTGGGAGAGTTCGGGCTTCATGTCTTGTCTTGGAAGGCAAATAGTTGTTCTGACATCGGCATGAACATCTCAGCTCAATCCATTTACTGATGTTGGTACATTTGTGATAAGCGCTCTTTTCAATTGCAGCAGTTCCTTGGTGAGTTTCAATGCAACTTCACCTATAATATGAGAAGTCGTGATTATTTACTGTGAACAGTTATTTAGGCCAAAGTTGCAATGTTGTGTTGTGGCATATCTAAAAACCAAACCATAGTTGATCTGATCCCGCATGTCGAGTTTTGCTGGTATCATAATCGTTTAGATCTAGCACCTGCTGGTAATGCTCTCGGTGATATATAACTTAAATGTCGTTTCGGAATTTTTTTGGTAGCCTTTGTGACATGATCATTTGTGCCACAACTAGATAACGAATCTTAAGCATAATTGAAGGCATGCATGACTGGCCTCTCTTTGGTTGGGGGCACCAAGAGTGTCATGCAAAATAACCTAGATTAAAGACGTGGCCAAGTAAAGGCGAGATCCCAGCCTGCCGCACTTAAGCTCACAAGTTGTTTGTGGCCACAGACGCGTTGTGACAGAAACCTGAAAATCATCGTGATAAGCTACCACTGAGCTATACCAACAGTACGTTGGTTGTGCCCCTGATGTGGAATGAAACGGTGCGAAGGAGATGCTTTGAATGCTATGTGTGAAGCGTTGAACCATGGCTTAATTTTCAGACTGCTCATATTTCTTACACACACAAGTGTTTTTCGTGCAGAGAACAGTAACGTCTCATTAGAGCCTAGCACCATGTGTGTAATGGGGGCGGGCTCATCTTATTTCATTCGCAACACAACGTGTATGCAATTTCGAGTTCAAAAAGGGTTACGCAGAGTGACTGGTCAAGCAGCACTAGTCATTTGGGTCTTCGTATAGTAGATACCGTGTGTGTTGCTTTACAGGAGGCAAAAAATCGTTTGTACGCATTTTTAAATGTTCTGATAATTCCGTTCTAGAAGCCTAACTCTTTTTATGCAGGACGGTGAAAATCAGGTTGCAAAGTAATCTCCCTGGTACAGCTCACCGTTTTGAGCGCTCGTTAGACGCCAATCTCTACTCTGCAGGAAATCTTGGGCGGACGATGTGGAAGGCATTCTGAACGACCCCTACGTCAGCGAGCTGGTCAACCGGCTGCGCACACTCGACGACGCAGAAGAGACTAACCTAGCCCAGGAAGAACTGGACAGATATTTCCGAAAACACGTACCGTTTTTCCATCTTTACAGCAGGGTGTCGGCCACGCCTACCGCGGCGCGGTCCGTTTACGCCGGGTAGGTCACCAGGGCTCCAATAGATGTCGCTGCCTGCCGCTTGGCTGTTCGAGCGTCGCGGCCTGGTCAAGGGAGAACATCGCAGTAGAGAACGGTAGCATTCTACCTTGGCTTTACGGACCTACCAGGTGGTGAAATGGTTATAATGGTATGTGTTCATTTTTTGGTTATTGCTTAATTGGCTATTCTATGTGATTTGTTCATCCCTGTTTCAATTCGGTATGTTGAATGGTGTGGTAAGTGATTGACGTCCATCGCTTCATCGCGTTTTTATTACCAGTTGATCTTGATTCATGGTTCAAATATGGGATTGTTTAGGCAGCGTCTTATGGCCTGAATAATGTATATATCTTTTCATTGACCTTTCGCGTTAGGCAACAAGAACAGGTAAAATTATTTTTTTAGCGTGTAAGTCGTGCAAATAAAAACGTTGCAGAATTTCTCGCATATGACCTAATCCCACGAAATGAAAAACGCAGGTCCAATCTCTAAAAGTGGGGGTCATCCTCTTTGTTCCTTGTAACTTGTTCAACCCTTTCGGCTCTTCAACTTGTGATCGGTTTCCATTTCCCGCAGCAAACGTGGACTGGATTTTGGCCTGGGCCGCGGCTTCTCGGCCACACAGGCGGCCAAGCACAAGATGGGTCTGGAGGCGGCAGCCTTCCCGGGCGGACCGGGCCGCCGGCGACGCTCCGTCGAGCAGGCGCTCCATCTGTAAACCCCGACCTCCACTTGGCGTGCCCTCCTCTGCCTCCGGCGGTTCCATGTGGAGCTGACGGTGCCAGCTGGAGCGTCCCCCAGCCAACCTCGGCGGACTGGATCCGGTGGCCACGCGGGGTCAGCTGTCCTAGCGAACCGGGCCGCTTCGGTTCAGTGAGCCGACTATGAAAACGATTTGCTGGCTGAAAAGGCTGGAGATGGTGTGGTCCGAGGCGGCACTGCCTGAGCCTCAGCCGATCCTGTGGGATCAGCTGATCCCGCTGATGCCCACGGACTGTTGGTCGGTCGCCGCTCCGCCACTGGCTGATGGTGCGCTTGTTGTTCACTCACGGACAGGGCGGTCTTGTCATTTTCACCACCCCAGAAACGAATACTGAGAGTTGTTGGCTAGGATTGTGTAGTGTATACCATTCACTTGTTCGCCCCACCTAGCGTCAAAAGAAGCCGTCGTCCGGTTTTTGTGTTTTACCTGATTTGGCGTTTCTCGCAGTCACTTGGAGTTGTTGACTTAGACGTCCTCATGTCTCTAGCGTCGGCCAGATGAACAGCGACAACGATGTATGTCCAGACCGGTTTTTCCACGTACTACTCTGCCAATGAACAGCAGCATTCAAGCGTCCACGCGTGACGCATGTTTATGCCGTGTTCAAGTTAAATTTGTGTATATTGACGGTCATGTCAAATATATGTGTGCATTGTTGGCATTGCCTTTTGATGACCGGCTATCATCATCAATCTTGAAGTAAACAGCACAACTTGTATGCTGTTTAACTACAGGTGACCGTCACCCCTGTAGCACGCGTGCGGTGGACTTGCACGTCGGAGCGACGGAGCACTCGTCAGTGCCGAGCAACACATCAGGTGTCCTTAGGGTGCTGTGCGGCGGACGGGCACGTCAGAGCGACGGAGCACTCGTCAGTGCCGGGCAACACATCAGATGTCCTTAGGGCGTTGTGCGGCGGACGGGCACGTCAGAGCGACGGAGCACTCGTCAGTGCCGAGCAACACATCAGATGCCCTTAGGGCGTTGTGCGGCGGACGGGCACGTCAGAGCGACGGAGCACTCGTCAGTGCCGAGGCAACACATCAGATGCCCTTAGGGCGCTGTGCGGTGGACTTGCACGTCAGAGCGACGGAGCACTCGTCAGTGCCGAGCAACACATCAGATGCCCTTAGGGCGCTGTGCGGCGGACGGGCACGTCAGAGCGACGGAGCACTCGTCAGTGCCGGGCAACACATCAGATGCCCTTAGGGCGCTGTGCGGCGGACGGGCACGTCAGAGCGACGGAGCACTCGTCAGTGCCGGGAACACATCAGATGCCCTTAGGGCGTGTGCGGTGGACTTGCACGTCAGAGCGACGGAGCACTCGTCAGTCCGCGCAACACATCAGGTGCCCTCAGGGCGCTGTGCGGTGGACGCACGTCAGAGCGACGGAGCACTCGTCAGTGCCGGGCAACACATCAGATGCCCTTAGGGCGCTGTGCGGCGGACGGGCACGTCAGAGCGACGGAGCACTCGTCAGTGCCGAGCAACACATCAGATGCCCTTAGGGCGCTGTGCGGCGGACGGGCACGTCAGAGCGACGGAGCACTCGTTAGCGCCGGGAACACATCAGATGCCCTTAGGGCGGCGATACGATGACGCATCGTGACGGTATCTGTATTTGATGCGCAGCTCACCAACTTAAAGCCGTCTGACCTTCAGCAGCGCTAGAGTCACATGATTCTGCCGGCTGAGATCAGCCGCAATGAGAACGGCGCAGTGCATTAGCCTTTGAATACGCTGCCAGTGCGTTATTGAACAACTTCCAGCACATCCATGCACCACAGTTTGCGTGTATATACAAAAGCGCCTACCAGCAAACCTCTGGTACGCTTGCTGCGGCTGCTGGCAAGACCCACCAACACACACTAACGACACTGAGCAACACATGCGACATGCCCATCCATGCTACGGCTGGTGGCATGTAGAGTGGGAAGAGGGTCGAGAAGCTAAAAATGGCAAAGATAAAGTTGTGTTTTTCTGGTGTTCAGTCCAAGTTTGTAATCACATTTCTGTGTTGCTTCTTCCTGCCCAGATACATTTCATGCTATTTCATTCAATTTGGCCATTCCTTAATCAGATTTTAAGGCATCTGGCATGATCACAACTGACATCGCTTTGGCGACAGTCGTTTTCTTCAGCTTCATGCATGATCAGCATAAACATTTGCCATTGCATCGTAGATCTCGAAAGTCTGTTGAGAGAAGCTGAAAACTATTGTAAAGTCTTCAGAACGAAGGTCATGCGTCGCGCGATTCTGTTGCATTATAATGGCATAGTATCTGAGAAATTAATGGGTGCTTAAAACAGCGCACTGCAGGGCGTAAACGTACTACAAATCTTACAAAACCTAAGACAAATGTTAACCAGCGACATAACACCGATTTTGGAACGTGGAAAGATGAGCATTAGTCTTTTTGCTGTCGAGTAGAAATATCCTTTATGACTTCTCACCCGCGACAGGGCGGGAAAAGTGCCATGTGAAAGGGACGACCCTAACATGTCCGAACAAGCATCACATAACGCAGCCCATGTGAGCATTGTTTGCGGTAGACGCCAGCGGAGGGAGTTTCTCGACTCAGCGGTAAAGAATGCGTGGCAGACTGGGCTCTGTATGGATCAGGTTTACAACGCTGGGAGCCTTAACACAAACCCAGGTGGCCGGTTATATATCCTTCCTCGAGTGGGAGGGGAGGGGCCGGTCAATTTAACCGCCTGAGATCTTAGACTTTAAGGTAGCTAGGGACACCTAATTCACAGGGTGGATTGGCCCGTATGTGAACTCACTGGCATAATATTGTAAATTTCTAGGTCACAACCTTGGGGTCAAATGAGGTCAAACAAGGTCAAACTCTAGATTGGTGTCTACAGTGCCCTCAGACCTCGTCATGCAACCGCCGTGAATCTATATACCTGTTCTAAGCATAAGGTCAATGGTTTTCATTTAAGGTCAGTGACGTTGAGGTTTAAAACGTCAAGGTGCCCTAAAGCCTACGAGATTGCTGCTATTTTGTCATTCAAATAAGCGTTAGGAATAACGCCAGGCAGTAGGTTTGTAAAAAATTTGGCCTGGGCCGTTTTAAGTCAGTGACCTACTCCGACCCTTAACAAGTCCATGGAACATGTCTGTCGCGTCCCTGTCATTCATAATTTCGAAATGATCACCAGAAACTATCTCATACCTCACACGCAAGCTCTCGAGTAAAAAGCAGATTATTTCTGATCTCGGTCTCACCTTCATACTTGACCCAGATCAATGAAATTTGTTGCACTGTCAAATTCAGTTGGCTCCTTGCCTAAGAATCTATTTCAGAGATGTATGGCTTGTTCAACTACTCCGTTGTTGCATCAAATTGGACGATTCCCAAGAAATGACTTGCGCTGACAGCTACGGCCTGATTTTGATCTGCCACACGTCAGCGACTTTCCAAGGCGTAGTTATTTTTTTATACATTGAAAACCACTATTCACTTGTAGCTAGGCAAAGTTTGGTGCGGCTACTTAGCGCTGTTTGAAAAGCATTCCCGAAAAATCTTTTTAGGGGATTTACCCCGCTCGAGCGCGCGTTAGTGCGTGATGCATGCCAGTTTGGCATCGTTTACACGCATGAGTGATGTCTTATGTGCGGTGTCCTAGAATTGCCGACTTTGGGTATAAAGCAACATCCTATGGCAAGGAATTTTTCACTCCTGCCTGATACTGTCTAACTACATATACTAAACCCATATTTCCCTTCAGATATTTTGAGATGTCATTCAATTCCAAGCTCACTTGAAACCACCAAGCATAAACCAGGCTCCACAGAACCTGGACACCTATGCCTATATCCTGCCTCACACACATCTGAATCAGGCCTATGCATAATCAGGGTATCTTCAAGCCCGGAAGCCCCAGCGAGTCCAGCCGCTTGTGTGCATCAATTGTGGTTTGTTTACAACATACATCATAGTCTACAATTGTGTGTTAAATGCAAGATTTTCACTTATCCTCAATTTTTGGGTCACTCCACGCAAAAACCACACCAGCAAAGCAGAGCTTGGTGCAAACACCAGCAAAGTCTGGTAGACAATTTTACTCTACTGATATATTTTCCCGAAGAAACTTCACCACAAAATTGCACCACCCCCGAACTGTAGGAGGGGAACATTCAGGAGATACCTTCTAAATGAAATCTAAAGGCTGGATGTCATCATTTAAACAGTCATTTTCACATATCTTTAGTCACGTGAGCCGATTACAACATTTGACCAAAAAACTCCATGTCTTTACAATTATCTTCTTGCTTTTGTTTTCTTTGGTGCCATACAGATGTGGTACAGCTTTATTTCTCCTTTTTTTGGTATTTTTTTTAAATACCAACTATGGCCTAAGCTATGGACCAATATCTCTCCCCAAGTGCTCCAACTGGAATATTTTTGTCTATGTATTGGAATAATTCGCCAGCCGCCCAAACATGTGTGATAGGCATTCAAAAATGAATAATCATAGTAAATGAAGGAGATAATTTGCATCAAGGAAGTTATTTTTACCGACATTTTTGCCTTGCTTAACTTATAAGTACCCGTTTTTCGCTCATGGCGAGGCTCATTAATGACGAATCTAAGCCATTCCAGTTACATTACCTCACCACTTGACATTATCCTGCCGGACATGGTTTTGGAACAAACCTGGCGCAGCTGATACAGAAGTGCTTGGTTTAAAAATGTTGCCCTTCGAGACGGTTTTTTCCTGCAGAGCTCCCCTTGCTTATTTCATCTTGTAAACTTGTAGGCCTTTTGTTCGGGGGGAGAGGGCAAAAAGACCCCTGTGCTGAAAAAGCCAGTAAGTCTCTCCTGTGAGGCACATAATTGCTAACCATACCTGCTTTCAAAACATGATTTGTAGCCGGATTTGGCCAATTTTTGTTTTAGTTCATCGTGTTTTTTTTCAAAAGACAAATTATGATGCCACAGGATATGTAATAATATATTTTGCCAGATACTCTTGATCATTTACCCCAAATTTGTTGAAGCTGTCCTTCATGTCTGCTTTAACAAGATGTTGTCCAAAGTTGCCATGGTTTGCGGACTGGCAAATGACTGTACTGTAGATATGTACCATATATTTTTAACACAGGAATTCTCTAAGCTGCAAAATAATTACAATATGAGGTACATATAGGTGTTCAGAAAAGAGTCAGATCGTCTCATTTTTAATAAGAAGCCAACATTTCAAATTTCAAGTGGTTTAATTTGAATAACAAAACTTAAGCGGATGATTTTGCTGCAGCTGAGAAGGCGAGCAGCAAAATTGGTTCCTGGGGTCATCCATGAGCTATGTTGCGTTTGGAAGAGAGAGATTGTTCTGTGGAGCATACCCGCTTTTGCCCTTGACAAAGGCTAACCACGGTAATCAGAAAAAGTTTTAATAGTGATTTAAATACTTAATGGACAGCCCTGTCCTCTCAGTTGGCTCCTAGGTCTGATTTGTGCGTTGTCAACTTTGTCTAGTGTTAACAAGCTGACACAGATGAAGTGTACCAAAACACAGTTTGAAACCAGTCAAGAATAAGTTTATCATGTTTTTATCACCACTGTTGCTGTCAAAAAATAGGTGAGGTGAGTTGAGACGATGAACACATGGGATACTCTCAGCTCGTTACTTGCGTGGTAAGTAGCAGTGGAATCTTGCAAGAATCGATGACTCACGAATGCTGCTGTGATGCAAAACAAGTTAGACACCACGAGATGAGGCGAGACTCCTTAGGTTAGGCTCCGTTAGGTTTCTTTTATGGAAATAGGCAGGAAGAATATTTTGGCAGGAAATATTTTTTCTCAGGAAATATTTTTTCTTCGGAAATATTTTTTCTCAGGAAATATTTCTCAGGAAACAGTGGCATCATATTTGTATCTCCTGACCTCATTTCAACAAAAGTCAAAAGTATGTCAGTTGGTTGTTTGATCTGGTGATTTATTGATATGCAGGAAACCAAGACTGTTTTGTTTGAGTGCTTTATGCTCGTTGCATTTGTTCTGTTTTTGTTGTTCAATTCCTTCGCTTTGTTTTGTGTTAAAAAACATCCAATGCAAGGGAAGGGCAAAGTACAGCATCAAAACGTTGGTGTTACATAGTCTTTGGTGTTCATCACACTTGCATGATTATCAATGCATCCTGTTTCAGTGAAATGACATAATACGTGAAAGCAAAAGTATTTTATGTTAAAGGTATTACGTCCACGCCAACTTGAAATGTATGTCTTTGTTTCTCGGGGCATCTCTCACTGACTCATAAGTTCCAGCATTTGTGAATTGAATTTTTCACTCCTGTTCGTTCTTTTTTAGACGGAATTTTTCACTCCCACGCAGGCTCAAAGCGATTTTAGCTCACTGCTGATGCATGATGCGTAATACCTGTGTTATTGAAATCGTTTGCAACTATAAGTGATGCGTCACGCGCGATGCCTGTTTCTTTCAGGCATAAGTTGTGCATAGTGCGTGATGTCTATTTGCTCGAATTCGCATAGATGTACTCGTCTTTTTCAGGCGATTGTAATCATTTTCAGTGTAAACAATGTACCGTAATAACCGCTGGGAATTATTCCTTGTTAAACCCCCTGAATGCTGGTGACCCGCAAAAACTATGGCTTAATGTTAAAAAAGCAACTGAAAAATCGAATAAGGTCGGCTGACCAATTTTGAATGTGCTGCTTATAATCGTTTTGACAGCGGCATGTAACCGAAATGTCAACGCATCTATCTCTCCTTTTTCTTGATTATCCGACGAGAAATAGGGCTAGCAACACTGTCTGTATAATATTCCTCGCAAACGAACTTGCCTTTTGCAAATGAATACAACTGAGCTGCGCATGATATCCTGTTGCTGATGCGGTTCCGCTCCACAATGCTACTGATGCTAATGACAGGTCATGAACGCTCTCCAGCGCACGTTTTTGAGATACGTTTCAAATATGGGACACTCTCTTTAAAAAGACGCGCGTGCCCCGGGAATCATATCCGACAGCCCCTCTTGCATGTCAGGCGCATTTCCACTTCGCCACGGAACCAGCTCGCAATCCGCACATAACAGTGATCGCGCTCCGGTAATGCCTGCTCCGAGGTAATGCATACATGGGCTGCGTTAGGTGATGTTAGTTCGTTTATATAAGTAAGGTTGTTTCGCAAAATAATTAGCAGAGATTAAGAGTGGACTATGGCTACGCCTGTCCCCTAAATATGGCAACAACAGGGTTTAGGCAACTTTTTGTTAAGTCAGGGGCTGGAGGCAACACTCCCTCACTAAATGGGTAGTTACACGCCCGGTACATTGTTGTTGTCCATGACACGCACAACGTCCAGAACACCTCCACCGGTATTAGTCCGGTAATGTAGCCTGGATGCTCCATTAACTTTAGATTTTCGAACCGGCCGTCTCCCCAGCCGCTGTCACGCGGCACTTCTCCCGCAATGTCGGGGCGGGACGTCAACCAGGATAATACTACTCGAGAACAAAAGGACTGCTGCTTAACTTACCACATTTCGAAACGAATATTTTGTCGTTGATTGCTGGTCAGCATATGTTATACATTTTGTTTCATTTAATTCAGCTTCACGTCTTATTGTGGGCTGTTCTTCAGCACTTTTAAGACAACGTTGCCACCATAAATCAGCTAATCAGCATCATGTGTGACTATCTTTTTAAGGACTTCAGGAAAATTTTGAACTTTTCGCGCAGGAAGCTTGGAATTTTGCAACGGAATTTTCTTTTTCGACCGATCATGCATCAATCTAAAAAAGGTAGTTTGTCACCAAAGACATGTCAGCGGTTACCACGTCAGATAACCACTAGCTGCATCAGAAAACGACGGAAGTGAAGTGCAACGCATGACGGGTCTGAACACTGTGCGAAGGAATGGGAGGTGATTGCAAAGCTACAACTGAACTAGCTAGCAAAACAAAAATTATATTTGCAGTTATGCGATTTCTGGAAGGTCGCAAAATGCGACCCATCAGATCCTCTGTCTACTCCTCTGTGCTGGATACCACCAATAAGTGGCATGGCATGCGTATGTTGCGTGTGTTGTACAGTGCTGCTAGCTTGTATTTATGGGTCTTGTCAGGAGTCGCAGGAAATATACCTGGGGTCTCCTAGTGGACACGTCTGTCTTCACACACAAACTTTACCGCATAACCGTCTTGGAAATTGTGGAGCAACGCACCGGTAGCGTATTCAGAGGGCACCGCATTGCATCGTGCTCATTGTGGCTGATCACGGTCGGCAGGGTCATGTGACTTCAGCACTTCTGGAGGTTAGATTGCCTAAAGCTGATGAGCTTCACACCGAATAGAGATATCGTCATGATGCGTCATCGTATCACTGCCCTAGGGTGGTACTATGACGCATCTTCACCTATGGACACCGGAACTGTTGCGCGGCACTGATGAGTGCCCTGTCGCTCTGAACTGTCCGTCCCCGCACGTGTGCTACAGAGCTGACGGCCAGCTGCAGCTTACCAGTCCGCCCCCGCACGTGTGTTACAGAGCTGACGGCCAGCTGCAGCTTACCAGTCCGCCCCCGCACGTGTGCTACAGAGCTGACGGCCAGCTGCAGCTTACCAGTCCGCCCCCGCACGTGTGTTACAGAGCTGACGGCCAGCTGCAGCTTACCAGTCCGCCCCCGCACGTGTGTTACAGAGCTGACGGCCAGCTGCAGCTTACCAGTCCGCCCCCGCACGTGTGTTACAGAGCTGACGGCCAGCTGCAGCTTACCAGTAAGCGAGCTCTGCTGTTTACCGAAATTGATGATGATGGCCGTTCATCAAAAGACGATGTCGAAAAGGTACATATATTTAAAAGAGTCGGCAACCGCATGCCCTTGCCTCACGCGTGGATGCTTGAATGGTGCTGTCCATTGGCAGACTAACACGTGGCAGAACCTGTCTTGACATCGATGGGCGTCGCTTACTGATTTGACCGACGCTAGGACAACGTGGACGTTCAGGCCGTCTCTCAAACTTGAAGTGGCTCCGAGACGCCCAACGCGGAACAACACGGGTGCCGAAAGACGGCTTCTCTTGGCACTAGGTAGAGCGAAAGAAACTTAACGGTACACACTGCACAATCCTAACCAGCGACGCTCAGTATGTGGCTCCTTCGTGGTGAAAGCGATAGAGCCATCCCTGTCCGGGAGCGAACAGCCAGGAAACTATGATCCTGCGGCGGAGAGGCGGCTGACCAGAAGCCCTTGGGGATCAGCGGGATCAGCTGAGGCTAGGGGGACCTACCACAGATCAACCATCTTTGGCCTCTTCAGCTACCTCCTAAGCATTTTCCTGGTCGGCTCACGGACTCTGGCGGTCCAGCCTGCCGGAGTCAGTTGATCCCGCGTGGCCACCGGATCCGGACCGCCGAGGCTGACTGGGGGACGCTCCAGCTGGTGCCGTCAGTTCCACACGGAACCGCCGGGGCAGAGGAGGGCACGCCAGATTGGAGGTCGGGGTTTACAGATGGAGCGCCTGCTCCACGGAGCGTCGCCGGCGGCCGGGTCCGCCCGGGAAGGCCGCCGCTGCCAGACCCATCTTGTACTTGGCGGCTTGCGCGGCCGAGAAGCCGCGACCCAGACCAAAGTCCAGCCCGCGCTTGCTGTGGGGAGCGGACGCCCGTCAGAAGTTGGAGGCACCGGTATGGTCAAATTAAGAACAGAGGACGACGTGGCTGTTCGGCATATGTCGAGAACAGGTGTGGTCTTAGCATTTTTCTTGATTAAGCTATAGATGAGAATTCCTTAGCATATTTTTCCTTTAAGGCTTACCGCCAAGAAAGCATTAAGTTTTACGTTCCGGTTGTCGAACGCGAAAGGGCACGTTACGATGGAAAAACGCGTGTGTTGTTCAGGTAATGTGGTGTTGCCTAAGCTATCACATATGGTTAAGCATGAATCAGATCACTCAGGGAATGAAAAAAATCCTCCGTGTGAAAAAAATGAAAAAAGCGGAGGGCATCGGTCACCCGAACCGTCTATGAGCATGGCAAGACAGAGCAGCGATGGACAAATCACCCTCGAAAAAGCAATAATCTGAAATTGATGCCATCTTGACGACTTTGTCTAATAGGTCCGTAAAGCTAACGAAGATTTACACCTCCCTCTGCAACGACATCTTAGCCATCTTGGCAAGGCCACGATGCTCGGTCACACGGCGGCAGAGACATCTATCGGAGCCCTGGCGACCTACCCGGCGTAAACAGACCGCGCCGCGGTACGTTGTCGTGCAGGTGGAAAAACGTGCTTTCGTTAATATCTATGTAGTTCTTACTGGGCCAGACCGATCTCTTCGCCGTCGCTAAGGGCGTGCAGCCGATTGATCAGCTCGCTGACGTAGATATCTTTCTGCAGATTCTCCACATCATCCGCCCAAGATTCCCTGCAGATCGGAGGTCGGCGTTGAACGGACACTCCATGGGATCTACCAGATTGAAGAGATCATTCGGCAACGGGATACACACCGACGATTTCATGAATATGTTACTCTGCTAGGATAGCATTACATGAACACTTGAAATGCGTGCTATCGTTTTATGTTGCTTACTGTAATGTAGTGCAAGCACAAATGCCATCGATCATAAAACAATATTATTCCTTATGGCCGCATATGCACTCTGTGCAACACTCTCTTATCAAAGTTAGGCGCAAGATGAGTAGCGAATAAGCTGAAACAAGTCCGCCCCTTGACTCCCACGCAGCCACACACCGATGAGACATTACGGCTCCATTAACCAAAACAGGATTTGTGGGTGCAGGGAATGAAATAATCCGCCATATTAAATCATGCTTTAATGCTTCACATTCTTACATTTATTGTCGGTTCTGACTATTCTGTATACAGCTCTGCTTGATGTTTCATTCGGCATTGTCTTTGAAACTCTTTAAAAAGACTATAAGGTAACTTAAAGCATAGCAGCCTCTTCACCCTTTCTATGTCCACATCATGGGTGCAGCCAGTTCTTTTGAGGGTCACTCAATGGCTGCTCATCACGATACGTTTAAAGCCCTTTGGCCATATCATGAACAGAAATCTACAATTCCAAACAACAAGTGAGATAAAGAGGGAGTGGGGTGCGAGGACCTGGGACCCGCCTTGCTTTGGCTGTGCCTATGGCTTCCAATATTTTGCACGGTTCCCTTGGCGTACCCAAACCAAGCAGGACCCGTCACTCATTCTTCCAATCTTGATGAAGGTACATTCTCTATTTGTGACATAAATGATAATTTTGCAATGATTGCCAGAAACTTTCCTGAACGACACTTGCGTCACATATTAAGGAGTGCATTACCATCGAGTGCTAAAAGTAGACAGTGATGAGGCAAGCCTACCACGTGAAGCAGGATCAGACTAACTATGGTTTGGTTTTTAAATGAGCCACAACACAACTCTACAGTTATGTTGTTAATAGCTGCTCATAGTAAACTAACACAAATACGAACACTGTAGGTGAACTTGCATTAAACCCCAAACAGAAGCTGTTAAACTTCAAGAGAGTGATTATCACGCATGTACCAACATGAGTAAATGGATTGAGCTGAGAGGATCACGCCGCTGTCAGAACGAGACATGAAGCCCGAATTCTGCCAGCTTCTTTTCCTTTCTCACACGCACCGAGCTACCCACCTCTCGGCGTCCTCCTTGTGCATGCTGGCGTTGCTGAAGGACCAGCAGAAGACGAAGCAGACGATGGCAGCAAGCCAGGCGCAGGCGCTATTTACGTTTAGGTGACGAGTCATGAGCCTGAAGCAAGAACAGGTCTGGGTCAGGCAAGGGTCAGAGGGCAAGGTCAAGCCAAGATCGGGCCAATGCCGGATGGTGCGGTTGGGTGAGAGTCAGATCGCAAGGCGTGTCACGCTAAACAACTTGTACTTACGTGATGTGCGTTGCGCCCGCCGTGCATAATTATGCTTCATTAGCCAGAGCCGTGTCGTGGCTGTTTGGAAATTTGTTTTTGACACCATGAACATCACCTTTTAAGCAGACCATGTTTGAGCAAGGTTGTTTTGTTATTGTGTGAGGGTTAGTAAGGATCAAGGCAACACAATCCACTGGCCAAATCTACGCCGAAGCCGCGCCAGCAGCCCGCCGGTATAAGGCGTACTGGCAAACTGTGCCGCAGTACACCATCCCGCCTCCCGGCCGGGTGAGGGCGCTCAATGACCAGCACGTGGGCAACCGTCTTCGGTCTGGCCGGGCTGGTGGTCACTGACCCGGGCTGCACCGAACAGAATTCTGTGTGGGCCTGGTTAAGTCCGCCTGGTCACGCAGCAGTGGCTTAGGGCAAGATGACGGCAGCCATTGTGTGTCTACCGTTAGCAAGACAGGCCCTCGAACATGGTCGCCTAGCAGATCTCGAGCCATGGTTTGCTTATTTACGTGCACCCTTTTAGCTTGGTCGAACAGTGTCAAAGATTTGTATGCTATATTTGCCTTTTAGCCGTGCACAAAACTACTAAGGGCTCTGAATCTCAGTTCTGTGGAAATAAGCGAATGCTCTAGTTCATGCATGATGCTGCGGTTAGACACTGCGGGTCCCGGATATTGTTAGAAAGTTAAAATCTGGTCCTACAACTCTAAAGCTCTACGTGATGCAACATATCGCATTGAGACCGTTTGGATAACGTTGCATGTAACAGCACAACGTATTCCCGGAGAAATTTCGTCAAGGTGAACCTGACTACAGCTCATGACAAAAATCAGCAAATGCAAGACAGAAAAAACGTTAGAGTCAGCATTGAACATGAGCATGACGTGGTAAAAGACAATGTATCACGACATAGGTCGCCGTGCCTTACGGAAATTACTAACCGAGACACCGGGAGAGCAAACGGAAGCTTACTAACTGAGACACTGGTAGAGTAAACGGAAGCCCTGGCTGCTGTTGACTAGCATCATTATTGCTAGCAATCAATATTGCATTAAATAGCTGTTGGCTACGGATTATAGCAAGCTAGCAACGCGTACTGTGTCGTACTTGAATTGATTTTTAGACATAACGGCAGCAACACAAAGCGAACTTTTATCTTCAGAGTTCCGCCTGAAAAGAGCTCAAATGATGCAGCATTTCGGCGTGCTCTGACCGCTGAGAGGTCAGCAGCGTGAGACTCACTCGGTGCTTGTCCCGGGAGGAGATCGCCTGGTGGTCACCGCTGTGCTGCTCCACCGCCGACTGCGATGCTGGCGCCGCCTCTCCGGCACCTTATATTCAATGCCCCACGAGACAGCGGCGACCAATGGACCAATGGGGCGAGGCCGCGTCCTCAGCCAATCAGAACGTCGCCGGCCCACGCAAAACCTGACCCGTTCAATTAGACGGGTGATTTCCGAAGGACTGTCAATGGAATCAAAGGGCTTAACGAGAAATTACGCTACCAAAACATTGGCTATTAGAAACGTAGAAGGTTGCGACTTTCACCTAAAACCTTGGTTACATTCGCCTTTTGCAGGAACATTATCTTTATGCAGCAGTCATTGTGCAAAAAGTGGACTGGCATGGACCATATGTGGTTAAATCACCCAGCTTTGTTATTTGAATTACGACAGAAGTTTGAGTCATAGCGCTACGACTAACGAACAAACGCAAAACTAGTAACATGCCAGTTCTTGGGAATCAACCGCTTCCTAACAACTGGCCGACTTAGCCGACTTAAACGTTTTGTTTTTGACGTTCGGTAGCCGATTAAAAAAACGTGAAGGAGGAAAGACAAAAGAGTTAAAGACAAAACTTGTGTTTGATATTTTGTAGGCTTAAAAACATTCCGTCGGAGAAACAACCTAACATCTAAAGTTCATGGAAGCCACATTTTGTGACTAGCTCAGAAAGGGTGCACCTACACCAACAATCGTGCTGGGCGATGAGCAATGCAGTTGGGCCACAAGCGTAGAGACTGGAAATTGTCTACATGTTATTAAGAGGTTAACAATGTTTCAAGTAACATGTAATGGCTAGTTTTTCCAGAAATAACGCCGAATAAATAACACGCCACCGGGTGGCCAGCTGAATGCCTTTCGCTCGGGTGCAGATTTGACACGCTGAGATCTCAGAAAGTAAGAGAGATAGAGACACCAATATCACAAGCTGTGTTGGCCTGTACGTGAACCCACTTGTGTCAATATTTCAGGTTCATAGGTCATGACTTTGGGTCAAACAAGTTTCAATAAGTTGAAACTCCAGACTGGTATCCAAAGTGCCCATAACCTAGATGCCTGTTCCATGCCAAAGATCACTGGTGCTCATCTAAGGTAAGTGACTTTGTTTCACTTTGCGGTGGTCATGGAGACCACAATCATGCAGAACTACTCAGTTTTTAATTTAAATAAGCGTCAAAGAATACGCTAGGTAGTATGCCTCTAAGGGCAAAATGTCGACCTTGGTCATTTTAGCTCAGTTACCTATCGTGACCTTTAAGAAGTCTATAGAAAATATACGACGTGGTTCATGTTATCAATAAATTCGAAAGGAACACCAGAAGCCACTCCCATACGGTAGGCAACAGTAGTAAGGCAGGTTGGTTTTGACCTAGGTCTTACCTTTATTTATGACCCTAGGTAACTGAAATTGGATTATTCACTTATTGTGTTGCCTAGGAAACTATCTCAGAAAGGTATGGCTTCGCACAAAGCTCCGTTGTTGCATCAGATTGAGCGTTTCCCTAGAAACCCTACTCGCTTAACCCATGGCCTGAATTTGAACTGCCGCAGGTCAGCGATCTTAGAAAGCACATATAAATTTTTGTTACCAAACAATCCGCTATTCAGTTGTCTAGAGTCGTGCAAAATTTGGCGCGGCTACGCCCCGCTGTTTGGAGACCATTTTGGAAACACCTTCGAGAGGGGGCCAAATTGATTCCCAACTGATCGCGTGTTCAAAACCATCTTCACCTTACGTCGAAACAACTGGTCAAAGACAGGAGTCAGGAAATGCCATTTACATCAATATCAAACAGGGGCGGTACCACGGATTTTGAGTTGAATGGGGAGGATTTTCAAGGGGCCTTCTGGACAAAATGGCGCGTTCCCACAGTGCCCGAAGCCCTCCATTTAACTGAGGGGTGCTGAGGGCATATGCTCTTTTATCAAACAGTTACATACATCATATACAAGTTGATAAATTTCGAAGATGGGAAAACAACAAAGTGCGACCCTCTTAGCATCCTTCCTCCTCTTATTATCCAGCAAGGGGTCTCAGTAATTTGAAATAGGGCCTCTTGATGCATAGAGGAACCTTCCAATCCAGGACATGATGCTTTCATTTCACGAAGGTGGCCACCATATGAAAAGGGCCACACTACCGGCAAAACAGGTCCATCCATATTCGGAACCAAGATCATGTGATGCACGGAAGGGGCTTCCTGTTGCAGAAATGAGGCCTTTTGTGTATGATAATGTATCCTGTATCTTATATCCTATACATATCTTGTATATCTTAACTACAACATTGTGCCTTTTTATCTAGAGCATTGGCTACGTCTTTTATAAAGGTGACCTTATGATTCAAAAAGCGGGCCTTTTGATGAAGAAACTGCGTTCTGAGCCCGATGTACTACTGTATAGCTCAGCTATGGGGCCGCCTGGATCTGAATTCTGGTAAACTACGGGCATTTATAATGCCTTTAGCTTGGGATAAAGAAGTCTCCCCAGTTTTTTAAGTTGGACAACATACTTATACCTCCCCTGCCTGGCGGAAAGGGGAGACAACTGCCCCTCTGGACCAGACTTATTACTCGCTAGCTCAGTTACAGGGGCCTGCTTGATCTGAATTTTGGTAATCCGCGGGTATTTGCGATGCCTTTAGTGTGGGAAAAGGGGCCTCCCCAATTTGTTTTGTGTAGGTGGGCGGACAAATGCATACTTGTGCCCTCCTTGCCTGAAGGCAGGAGAGTTGGGAGGGGACCGCCCCCTCCGCCCGGCTTTGCTGCGCCGCCGCTGTTTTCTGTATTCTTTAACTGGAGCAGAAATCAGAGGCTACCACCTGATGCAGTTCTGCTTGTATTTTGAGGTCAGCAAAATGCAGAAACCAGACATCAGTTAACTGCATGGAAGAAAACACCCACGCTGTTTTACAAATGCCAATTCGTCCTCTTCTAAGCTCATCGTCAGGGGCGTTGTCGATATTTCTTCATGATTTGTAGCGATATATTGGGGCTTGGCGTCGGTGGAAGCCAGGTCAACACTTGGCATTGATATGGTCGACCCATGTTCGACGGAACTTCACTTATATTATGAATCAAGTAGTGAAAAAGATGATGCAGTTCTGAACACGTTTTCTCACAGCTCATGAGGAAAAAACACTGACGCACGACATTGCAGTTTCCCTCGGCTGCTGTGCGTCGTACGAACGGCTGACACGAAGTGGAGGCCAACAGGAGGTCAAAAATGGCCACCAATTAGAAATCAGTGATTTCCAATGCCTTATGAAATCAATACCTACGCATGGAAGGTGTCCCGGATATAAGGCTTCATTCGTGCAATTATCAGATTGCTATTCGGTGCGGATTAGCATTAACAGCACCACGGAGTTGACGCAATATTGGAATATCTATTGTTGGCGTCGCTATGGCTGCTGATACATTGATAGGATCAACTTCAAACTTGCACAGGTAAGGGATATACCACAGTAGAACCTTTTGATAGCAAGAACTGTTTATCTGGCTTACGTAAGCATCATTTCCCAACAGATGGTCGTTCTCGGGTGACCCGGATGTTGGCTACGACAGACTACGCCGCTCGGTGATGC